ACAAAGAACGGATAACAAAAATGCGTTGTGGATCGAGCACGTGCAACAACTTAATTCCTTAATTTATTTTTTTATAACGGAAGAAGAAAGTCTTTGTAACTATGGAAACATTAACGTTCCCATAGAAACGCTGTTAGCTGTGATAGAGTGCTAGCGCTCAAGTAGTTTGGCCAAAGAATGAGCAGTGAGGATGGCGGCGCCAGTCGGTGCATAGGATAAGGTAGAAATCTGCTTATCGACAGCAGGTCGCTACATAACGCGATTATGGTACAGTACTATCAAAGAATACAGTATTCTTTGGTAAATCGTTTTAAATATGATAATTTTCTACTACAATAAATAACAGTGAGCCTAACATGCTACACACCGGCATCGAGTAAGTTTGAATTTATGGAAGTGCGCACGGTATAGTGGCGCGCGTGATCTGACGGATATTTTCTTGAAAACTCGCCTTGCAGTCAACGTGCTGCCGTATAGCAGAGCTTAGGTTGTCAGCCTACTTGAATATAATTGGCTGCATAGCAGTAGTGAGTACGCATGAGTGATTGCGGTGAGTGAGTGCGTGTAAGTGTGTAAAGGACACTATAAGAGGACTTCAAAAGTCATCTACTTAAAAAAGAAAGAATATATATCTATAAAATATAAAACTTAAATTGGTTTTGTCACATTTATGTGATGTATGCCATATGACTATTATAAATTAAAGGATATCTGTTCTAACGACTATGAAATTAGTTAATTGCAACGAGTGAAAAAAATATTAATCGAGAATAGAAGAGCATGACAAAGTATTGTATGTTAATAACTGTGATTTATGTTTATACATTTAAATACATCTGATTGTTATATACATTGAATTTATTTTGATTATTTTTTTTCACTTAGAATACATTTGAAGTTTGGAAAGAATTGTCAATATTTTGTACGGCAAACAATAAATATGATATGATAATCGTCGTAATTTAAGAAATAAAATATAAAGAAAAAGTATGCCATTAACAAAGATTTTTTATCATTATTGAAAAAATTTAAAACTAATATTATATATATATATATCAAATGCATAATATAATATATTAGGTTAGGGGAAAAAATTAATTATTTTTGACTTGAAATAAACGTAAAAAAAATGGATTTCTTTTTCCCCAATCTAGTATATCAGATATATTAGCAATAAATACTTCAGCTCAATATATGAGTAATCACTTACAAGTTACAAAAACTAAAACTTCCCAATTCATTGAACATACAAGACTACAATATGAAAAGTATTTCATTCCTAAAAAGTAATATAATTGATTGTACAAAAAATGTATAACATTTGCTTACAATTTGCAGACATGTATTATCGATGCTAGTTAGAAACATATTTATCAGGAATTTTTAATTATCTCAATTGGAGATAACAAATTTGCATGAAACACACAGAGAGTCTCTTATAATTGAAAAGTTTTTTACTATTCTTAGTTGAGTACTGATACACTTTTCAGTCAAGTATTTTAAATTAAGTTTATGTGACATATTAAACCCCAAGTCATTTTTGTCGAGCTTTCCATTTGGGTTACGATGATCTGTCAGCCATAGAAAAATAAGACCGTTTGCCACTGGTGACTGACATGACTTGAATAAAAAGTTTAAGGCCAGTCCCTAGAGACTGGCTTGACATTTATAACACATATTAATTTATTTAAATAATAATATTTAAATTTTAAGGTGCAATATACAGCAAGTACAACATATTGATGCAATCTGGTTATCAAAAGCTGGCATTAGATATAATGCTAAGAATTATGCTTGAAAAAGCTACTTTGAAGAGCGATGCAGAGCGGATGCAAAGTCGATGTAAATTTATAGAAGACAAACAATTAGCACCTTCACACATTAAAGCGATGAGTAAATTGTAAGATAGACTTATTTTATTCAAGTAAGTTGAAGTAGTTATATTTTAGTAAAATCATTCATATTTGTAATTATTTATTAAAACGTTTTTATTAGGTACATTTTAGATGAATTTTGCGATAAAAGAAAAACGGCTCTCTTATGGTCTTTTATAGACATATTAACATTAAGTGAACCCATTGGTGGAACACCAAATTCTATAGAAATGCATGCTTGTGACCATAAAAGATATGTTGACGATATGCTTATTTGGTTGCATCAAGCAATTTCTATTGAAAAGGAAAACATATTAATTTCAATTAAGGATTCCAATAAAACTGATCAGAAATTTACTAATGATAATAATAGTTTTAATAAGTTGCTATATACAATTAATAGGAATATTTATTCTGGATATACCTGATCAAATTAAGCACTGTGTAAGTAACATTACAGAAGGACTTTGTTATCCACTACAATCAAGAATAGAATGCAGTTTTTGTTGAAACTCGAGCTACTGTTTTATATTTCATTACAACTCTAACAAAATTGTATCGTGCTATAATTCAACAAATTATACCAGATAGCATTCTAAACTCAACATTGTACAATTTTTTAGTACAGTCAAGACAAGTTTTCGGAGTAGATTACAAAGAGAAATTAAAACAGAGAGAACTTTTGGAGAATGAGCTGAACCTTCAGAAAATGATTTAATATCGGTACCATCTGTTTCGAGATTATTATACCTCTTGAATGAAATTCTCTCCATGGCTAACATAGCCGAAGATAGAGTAAAATATATGTTTCAAGTAAATACAATAAGTATTGATAAAATAATAAATTCACTTGTATCAGTATTAACGAAAATTATGTTTTTACAGTGTATTATCAATGTGTTATTAAAAGAAGTTATTGAAACAGCTTCGAGATTACCTACGGTTGATATGACTGCGTATTTTCTTAATTGTATGCATCAAATACAATCGACATTAGGATTATATGACTATATGGATCAAAGATTAGAAAGATTACAGGTAAATGATTAGTTCTGATTTAAATTTTAATGTAAAATTTTATAATTTTCTCATGTATTAATTTTTTTAATTTATCATATATAGGCTCAGTTAGATACTCAAATTGATACACTTATATTGGAATAAACTAGCTCTGAATTCGTAAACATAAATCTCGGATCAATTTATACTATTTTACAAAGGACGTAAACAGGGTCTTCTATTTAATATTCTTGAAATCAATCTATTAAGCGTTATAGAGTTCAAATAAATCATATCTTTTGAAATATTAATCAATATAATTTTATTAATTTTTTTCGTTATACTAATTAATATAATTTATTATTCTAACATATTAACATATTTGAGTAATTTCATTTAAAATAAGTTAGAAACATTTTTAATAATATGCCAAATGTATTATTATTACGGCAAATAAATTTATTACAAAATTACAATCATCGCGAGATTTCCAAGAAACGTTCATTCGAAGTAATCGAAGCTATTTACAAACATCTTTACGAAGTTTTTCACAGTATAATAAATTTATATAAATAAATATTAGTTTCCCAATGATTGTGATATTGAATATATTTAATAAGGATATGTGTAAGTAATGAACTTATAATTATTAAAATAATTTATATTATTCTTACAATTGTATAAAACTAAAAAGAYGAAAGAATAATTAAAAATATTCGATAACACAAAACGTTTAAAAAAAGTGATATTTTGGTACTTGCTCGATATTATGTTTGTTGATTGGACGATTCTTTCATTCGTTTCGAGTTACGATCTTGCTATTGGCTTGTTCGGGTATACTCAAGGTTTAGTAGTAGGGATAGCGTGGCGCGCGACTCGTTTCGCGATTGGTTCAACGTTCTTCGTCCAGTTAACGTGCTGTCGTCGGTGGGAACGCACTACTAATGTCTATGTTTCTCTCTCTCTCTTTCTCTCTCTATCTCTATCTATCTCTCATTTTCTCTTTTTCTATCTCGTTTCGAGACAGCTCCGTCGCGTCTATCGTTCGTTCGGCTCGGTGGAGGCAACTTCGTATCGCGTTCGATCGGTAAAATTTCTTAGGTTATTTGGAGAAAAGAAACGTACACCCCAAGAAGAAAACATGTTTATTATCGTCTGTGTGTTTAAAATGTGAAATAGGATAATAAAATATAAATTTAAATAAAAGAAAATAAATATATAAATAAAATTATAGACGAGGATGGTGGTTCGCGCGTGAGAATATAACGATGAACTGCATCGTTTTGTGCACAAAGATAGACGGATAGAGAGAAAGCAGAGTGAGTGAGTGATTGTAGCAGTATAGTGGCCAAAATGGCGGAATCAAGTTATTATCAGGTGAGTTTAATAAATAATCTTTTCTATATTATTTTTAATATTGTTTCTTTTTTCTCTATTTATCAATTTTATTTTAATTTTATTTATAACTATCGATATATTTAGATCGAAAAAGAATATTTTTTATGACTCATGTGTATTCACTTTTTCTCTCTCTCTCTCTCTCTCTCTCAACTTCTTGTATAATAATATTTTAATTCTCTACCATCTTTATCTTATTTTTTTTTAATTATTTTTTGATCTTGGAGTTAAAAAAAAATAATTTGAATAAAATTATTACGAGATTGATCGATAGTTATCATTAAATAACAAAGATCGAATTTACCGTGAGTACGTAGAAAAATATAATGATTTCGGAACACGCGTATAGGTAGACTGCACCTGACTGTCTCTGTTGATTCCTTTGAACTCTTTTGAAGCAACTTTAGTGACTTTCCAAAGCAAGTTCTGGTAACACCTGCTTCTTATTCTCTCGACAAGTGTTATTAATTCTTCCTCGTTTTGTCAAAAATAATCTTATGATCTCTTAAAAATAAATATCTTTTTTAAATATTTTAACGATAACATACCTTCTTCCTTGTTTTCTCAGGAAGGATCTTTTGATCTCTAACAACAATAATTTAAACAAAAAATAATTTTTTAAAAATTAAAAGAATGCTTTTTTTAATTATCATTTTAACGAAGGAATATAATTATTTCCTTGTTTTGTCAAGAGAATTTTATTATCTTTTGCAATGTATAAAAAATAGAAAAAAATAATTATAAAATATTAAACAAACGAATAATAAAAAAGTAAAGAGAAAATAATTTTACCACTAAACGATCTTATGGTATTTAAAAAAAAAAACAAGAAAAGAAGAAATTATAATTAAAAATGAAAAAAAATAATAAGAAAAATGTTAAAAAAGAATTAAGAAAAAAAAAATATATATATATATTTATCTAAAAAACAAAATATGGTTTCAATGAGGAAAAGGGGGGTTATGTTCGAGAGGGAAGGTGTCTCGTGTGTAACTTAACAGGAAGTTTCAAACTAAGAGACACATATATACATAATATACATGTACATATATACATATATACATAATGCGTGCATGTGTGTTCACATACCACACACACTGGTTTTCTGATTCCGAACTTTCACGTGAAACGCGACGTCCGCTCTCGGTGTTCTTTCGAGCGTCATCGGATCGGAGCCGATCTTGGCCGAGAACTCGTCTATGTGTATTTCTTGATTAGTATTAGTTTTGTGCTCGATTCTTCTCTCGTCGGTCCATTTCCTTCAAACGTTCATAGATCATCTTATAATAGCTCATATTGTGTGTGTATGTGTTGAAGAAGATAATTAATGTTTTGTTCGATTAATTTTATGAAATTTTTTTTGTAATTTTTATTTTTATGAATTTTTTTTCTTTTTTTCTTTCTTTTATTTTATAATCGTTTATCGATTTTTTTGTAGGACTAGTTTTTTTTTTTTTTTAAACAAACAATTGCAATATTTAAAATATTACATTCGATAATTGTTTTGTGACCGATTCTATTGCTGATTAATTTCTTTCAACGTACGTACACAGTTCGGTTTGATAATAGTTTATGGTTGTGTAACAATATAATTAATACAATTTTGTTGCATTATTTTTATGAAATTTTTTTTTTTCAATTTTTCTTTTTCAATTTTAACCTAATCCTTTAAAGTTTATTTGCAAGACGGATGTTGTTTGACAAATAATTGCGAGATTTATGTTTCACGTAAGAGCTAGTTTTGTGATCGATTATCTTCCCGATTTATTTCCTCCATTCTAAATATTCTAAATAATTTTTTTTTTTTTACTTGTTCTGCACTACTTTTTTAATCCATATTATTCCATACTATGAAAGAAAATTATTAACATTTTGTTCGATTATTTTAATCAAATTTGTCATTTGTTTTTTTTAATGTATTCAGTTTTCGATTTTTGTTTCTTTTTTTATGTATGTGTGGGTATTTTTGTAGAAATAATTATAAGGATTTGTATATCACGTGTCTAAACACTATTGTCAATTAATAAAATAATTTTCTACTACATTTTTTTATTTGAAGATTTTCAGCAAATTATAATTTGTTTATTATTATTACTATTATTATTATTGTATTATCCGACGATTATAGTTTGTTAATTTTTATATTTA